TCATCAATATTGCCTGCTATTTCGGCCGAATTACTGACCTTGGCTATACGCGAATTGACGACCTGAGACAATAACGAAGATGCGGAGCATCGTTATTTTCTCGCGAAATTTGCCAAACGCGCTGGTTACGCCAATGCGTAAGAACGGCGATAAGGTCGCGATGATGGCGCAGATACGCGGCCCGGTATCTTTATTACCCCTCGCGAGACACGTTGCTCAAGTTAATGTTAATTGCCATTTTATCTTACTCAGACGACTGATATTTTGAGCGCGTGATCCGCGCAAACTTTACGGCGCGTAAACGAGAGAGGCGACGTGTCTCGTGAAAACGCTCGTTTCAACTAATAACCGAGACGCATCGACGGTTAAGAGAATAATTGTCACAGACTTATCGAAATTTATCGTAAGAAATCGCTGTAGCTGCTCTTACCTTAAAAATACTTAAAAAGTATTTTTACTTTCGCTAAAAGCATTCGCTTCATATTTTTTATGACCCATCGAATCACGGATTTTCAACTGACACCAATAGGTTATCGCAAATCTGGTGTAATTCCGTAACCGTAAGAACGTCGAGGGGAGCTACAGCGACGTGTGCCGTTCCGTAATATTTGTTTGCCCGAAGTCGAGAGAGTACACGTCGTATTATACGTCGTACCAGCGGCGTCTCAGCGCAGGGGAAAAGATCGCGTCGCCCATGGGAGAGCGGGCGCGCCGTAAGTAAGAGCAACATATTCACGAGGCTGTATCGGATTTTATTCCGCGGGTAAATCCTCGAATCTCAACGGGCCCGTGTTTCCGTCTTTGCGTCTTTCGCGATTCGTCCCGCTGTGACGGGGTCCTCAAGATCCTCCGCCTCTCTCGCGGCCGTGCGTCCGCGCGCTTTCACTCCGCCGAGAGAAGTTTCGGGAGTTACGGTGACTGTTCGTAAGCCGACGGAGAGACGATGACGGTTCCGGCACGCCTTTTTACTGGCGAAGGTCATTTCATCGGGGAAAACGTGGATGGCAGGGTTGCGGCCCACCCTATAGCCTACTTCGTTCCATCTCTTCTCACCTTCTCTGCCTTTCGTTTTCCTGCCACGTCTCGCTGGGAGCCTCGTCCGTATTCAAATGTTCGGCCGGGGATGTACGGAGGCGGACGAGAACCGAATTACCTGCTCTGAATTGGAGACCGGCGAGGTGACGGGGGAGGACTCGTTACCGAACGAGGCGAGAAGAAAGTAGGACGCCTGGTGGAGAGAAGACTCCCCGTTTCATTTCTTTTCCCGAGATGTAGTGTCACGCGGTTAAAAATTTCATCGAATTACCAAGCTGATAATTTTAGTTCAACGTACGAGACAAAGTTATGTTCTTTCAAAAGCAAAATCAGCGATAAAAGTAAATAATTGAGATACGTATAATTAAGAGGAAATGTTATTCTGTTGACGTATTATCAAATATTGAAAGAGTATACATATATTTAAAAAAAATTATATATATAATTATATTTTTTTAATTTTTCTAAATGATATAACGAGATTTTAAAGGAGTACGCTCGGAAATTTTTTTGAGGAAAGTGTCGTGCGCCGTACGAATGATAAGATTACGGAAGAAGATAAGTTGGCGGAGAGATAAAACGGTCTTTGTACATTGGACTTACAATTAGGAGGAATTTTAAGCAACGCGATGAGATCTTACCGAGATCTTGAAAAAAAATATTGATAACGTTTTATATTCGCAATATAATTAAAACCGACGGCAATAAGTAAGGCCGCATGCCGGTATACCGCGGTGATAATATGAATCAAATAGTAATCAATAATTAATATAATTAGTGAATTAATGACTTCTCGAACGTTATTATTCACAGTATCGTAATAAAGCCGGGTGGCTTTCTTAATGCACGACCGTCGTATGCATATAATAGGGAAACATACGGGGCTGTGCAACATCTTATAACTGCTGCGCCATTAACGGCGCCACGATCATTGTAATATACGTTTAGTTTAGTTTAGCACATGGAGGGTGGGCTGCGAGCCGGCGTGCGATCGACCCCTCCGCATGCCAGCCGAGGGTGCATAATTTATCGCCACGTCCCGACCACCGTAATGCAATACGTTACACGCTCGGCATGCATGTGGACTTCGCGTAGGTTATCGATACTCCCTCAATGTCCGAGGGGCATAACTAACTACCAATAAATAGCACGATCATGTATCGGCATTCATTGCCCAACATTCATTACCTCCCCATTTGGAGTGAAGCCTTCCTGTTTTGTTATATGACAACACACGAAAAGCGATGCGAAAGTAAATCGCCATATTTTCACACCTCTGTTTCTATCGTCGATGCGAATACAATGATTTTCGTCCAAGTAACTTCATGAGATTCATTAAATAAACTTTAAAGAGACCGATCTTAAAATTATCAAGAAATTGCCAGATCATAAAACAGTCGGAATAAAAATTGTAATCTTATCGGCGAGTTCTCTCTCTCTCTCTCTCTCTCTCTCTCTCTCTCTCTCTCTCTCTCTCTCTTTCGCGCGCGCGCGCGGGAGCAGGGGACAGAATTCCGAGGCGGTTGCTTTTAGAATAGAATTGGTTTTTATTGTGACTAGATTACAAACGGGGCCTTTTACGGCGCTCAATATCGCCCAGTAGGAACGTTTACACGTAGCGAGTGAGGTGACAAACGGGAATGAAGAAACATTCTGCGTGAACGTTACGAATCACTCACCGCAGGGACTGGGATATGTGATTACGACGAACATTTGTACGACATTGGGATTCATACAAAATAGCGGTCGTTTCTTACGCCTATATCTTACGTGACTATGCCTCGAGCACTTATGGCGCGATCGGCCGCTCGCTGTCGACCTCCGAAGTCGATTCTGATTCTCGCGTCTCCTCGCGTGTCTCGTGTCGTCGTTTTCACCCCGTTTCGAAAATCTTCCCGACGCACCACCGCACTCCCCCGTTATGTGTTAATAATTTATACAATTATCTCCGTGGCCACGACGCGCGGCACAATTACTATACATACGTGATATCTTTTTTGGGTTTAACTTTGGTTTTGTTCTCTCACAACGCGTGGTCTATCAAATAATAAGCTACTTATAAAAATAGGACATTTTCGTTGATATTACGTTTAACGCCTTCTCTACTTACACAATCAAGGGTATATACGTATAAGTTAAACACTGCCGTTTGGAACGATAAGAGTACGAAGAGGAAGAGGAATCGACGGACTTGAAAAATCCAATTGCACGCGCCGCGCGAGGATACTTGTGAATATTGTTTTTTTTTTATAGTAATTATTCGACAATACTAATTCAGATTTATAACGTACGCCTAATCGATAGGATGCCCCTTGGCTCCGTACACTGTACAACGCACAATCCGCTTACTTACAGCCTAATAATATTTTAGTTATTCTGCTGAATAATCGTTATTATCGTCATTACAATGTAACAATTTTTTGGTATACAGTTTACGCTTGGCATAAAGTGCCGTCGCGTTCTACTATACATATATCTACAAAATAGTGAGTACGTGATCCGCGAGAGATCTTTATTAACGTCGCCTTAGAAATTAACCCCCTATTTTATATCGAAAAAAAAAAAGGAAATTATTAAAGCATGCAAAGCGTACAATTGGCACATTTACGCCATATAATTCTTTTAGAGAAATATGCTTCGTCTCGTTTTTTTTTTTAAGCGAAATAATACTATTTTGTTACCGCGATATATATTCAGCATCATATTTGAATAGTGAATATATTTGCCAAATTAAGAATACTAACAAAAAAAATAAGAAAAAGAGGAGGGGGGATTAAATATATCTTTCATCGCGGCGGAAGTTTAACATTTGTACTCCATTAACTTTTACCTGTCTTGAGGAATATGTGAGTTCATCAAACTCGTCGAACTTATAGTTTGCCAATCGCGCTCGACATAGCCGATTACTCGCATAATTAATACATTGTATTTACAACGTAATCAAATATTTTCAATTGTTAATTCTGTCAATTCTTCTATGACAGACACTGGTTCTTTATCCTTTTTTCTTGCCCTCAATTTTGACGAAGATCCCGAAATCGAAGATTATTACTCGTCAGAGAAAGTTAAATTTTGACAATTAAATATTTCCAATTCTGTAACAAAATTTGCATCGCGTGTTTATTTTCAATCGAGTATTAATTAATACATTGTAAAACTTCGTACCTTTATAAATTTTATATATAAAGGTAAAGAAGTCGTTTTGTCTATACATTTTTTTAATCGACTATTAAATTACAATATACAATTAAATTATTCTTGTTGTTCTCATTGGAGATATAAATATCTCCGAGCCATATTTGTTTAGATTAAACATTCAATGTTTAATTAAACGAAACGAGATATCGCGGTAAATTGAGGGAATCAGGACAACGCCAACGCATGGTGGAATAGTCGATAAAATTCTACTGGCCTCAATCGTCATCCCGCGGCAAAGAGAGCGTCTGCGAACCGGATGCGATTGGCGGCGTCGTCCAGCAGTCGAACAACGATGGCCAGTAGCCGGTGGCGGTAGTCGCATGTTGCCAATAACCAGTCAATCCGGTACCAGTTCCGGTGGCCGTACCCGGTCCCCCTACACCGATACCGACTCCCACGCCAATACCACCGGCGGTAGCGGCTACCACCTGTTCGGGATTCACCATGCCACTCGTCTCGATAACACCTCGCTCGTCCACTTCCATCTTTTGGTCCGCCGCAGCCCCGTCCTCGTCGTACATGAGATAGTGCGAGTGCGAGGTCGTCGACGAGGGCGTCGACGATAGCGTCGGCGAGGCGGCGGACCTAGGCCTGGGTCACTCTTGCGATCTAAGCTGATTGTCGCTCGACTGACCTGACACCGTAGCCGCGCCCGCCGCAGTGGCGGACGGCGGCACCACTTGATTACCGCCGCCGCTGAGGGAACTCCCGGAATTCGGATTCGCTACGCTGTGGTGATGGGGGCTAGACGTAGCCCCCGCTTCGCCTCAGACCTGGGCCCTGGCGGTGGCGTTGGCGTGCGCCTCGGGACCGCCCGGGGAATGAGGGTTCGTGCCGGCCGCCGTTGTTAACGCGTACTGACAGGCGCTCAGACTGCCACCGCCGCCGCCGCCGCCACCACCGCCACCGCCGACGGAAGACGCTCTCGAGCTCACGGGACTTATACTTCCGGCCGTGGTACCGCCTGTGGTACCGCCCGCGAAAGAACCGCCGCCACCGCCGCCGTAATCGCTGCTGTGCTGTTTCGCCTTCATTCGCAGCGACGCGATGCTACTCGATGTCATCACCGTGCAGGATTCGGGCGACCGATGGTGAGGCGTATAAACTGGCGGTCCATACGGATGATGCGGCGCCGCCGGCGCCGCGTACGGACACGCCGCGCCGGACGCGGCGACCGGCGAGCTCGCGACACCGAGACCGGAGCCCATGCCCGGTATCATAGACGTGGCCGCTTGCCCGACCGAAACCGACATGCCGCCCACGTGGCTGCCCGCGACCGACGTCGCCGCGGTGTTAAAGGGATTCACTGGGCTGACCTGAGCGTGATGGTGATGATGCGACGCCGCAGGCACGACCGAGCCCAGCGTGTTCATCCAGGGAAAGCTCTTGCCGCTCAACGGCGACGGCACTTTGGCCGCCCAGTTGTTGTACGGGCTGTACGAGCTGTAGAGAGTGTCGGGATCCGGAAACGGTTGGGTGATGAAGCCGTTCAGACTGGCTGTACTGAAGCCCGACTTGAAATCCGCCGCGGCCTGCGCGGCGGCGTTCATCGCGTTACGTTCCTTCTTCCGCCATTTCGCCCGCCTATTCTTGAACCAAACCTAGAAACAGAAAAACGGAGCGTTGCGAGAAAAATGTGTCTATTATAATTACAACATGTAGAATATTATTTGAGAAATTTAACAGGGATATATTTTCTTCGGTATTTCATTCTTATATCTTTATTCTTATATAAGCGTTTTAAAGAGATAGCTTTTTTTCATGATATACAGATGCTACCCTCCATCTTCAGATTTTGTTTTTAACGTATATAGCTCGTACATTGAAAACGCATAGAGGAGGGAACGGAGGGAAGGCGTAGCAATGCGTAGCGTTTCTCGCCAGATTTCGTGAACGTTCGCACGCCACGGGTTATTAGTCACGAACGCAACGGAGAGAGCAACGGGGCGGCGGTTCCGCTCCGTGGTAGACGGTAGGTGAGTCTCGAGACAAATAGCAAGAAAACCCCGGCGAGCTCCTCCATCCTGAAATATGATGGCGTTAATTCAAGGCGGCCCTTCTCTCACGCTCGATACTACGGGGCGAACTTCGTCAGCCGTTTCCACCCTCCTCTCTCTCTCTCTCTCTCCCTTTGCTCGCCCTTCAACCTCAAACCTACCTACTCGGCGTCCTTCGACTGTACCGTCTCTCTTTCTTGACGACGACGCCCGCCGTCGTCCCAGCTCGCCCCCAACAATTATACGGGTGGTTGCGCTCAGATACACGTCGCTCTCGCGTAACTGTAAGGCAAGGGACGGGAAAACGCGACATACGCGAAGGGTCGCGGCGTAAGTATTCGACGAAGAAAGAGAGAGAGAGAGAGAGAAAGGAAGAGGGAGAGTCGGATAACTGGCGGGGAGCAAGATAGAACGAAAGGAGAGAAGGGTACTGAGGGTGAAGCAATGCTGAAGGAGGTCGGCGGAATACTCCGTAAGATGGATGGCCTTACGATCACGCCGTGGAAACGCTAAGAGGCGCGACGGGTCATTGAAAGTGGGGGCGGAAGACTAGCTAATGAAGAATAATGTCCTTTCTTCTCTCAACGATTATTCCTGGAACGTTGCGTAACAACCTGAATTTGCTAACCTTCATTGTACAACCTAGGATCTTTTAAGAATAATCTTAATGAGACGATAACGGAGGCGGATAAATATGTAAAACATAATTGGAATTTTATAATACCACTAATTTATACGCTAATAACTTCATAGGTATCGATTTTCTTTAAGAAATAGTTATTCTTATCGTTATATAATGTATTCCTATTACCATTAATATATCACAGTTACTCATCGTACGATATCAATACGTTGTTACCGTATTTTTTTTTTGCCGATAAAGAATGGCTTACCTTTGCTCTGTCCTCGCGGAAGGTTTACGTGTTGGTGCGTATTTTTTTTTTTTCGCATCGGTAAGCCGCACGGGAAACATCATTGGATTTTACGAAGCGGCCCGGTAGCCGGCGGCATCATGGGCGACGACGGTAAGCCAGGAGGGAGTAAATTCGATAGGACAGAATGGTACGGCGGGCGAAAGATGCCGCGGCTCGAGAATCAATAAACTCTCTCGCGCGCAAAGGCGCACCGTGTACACACAAGGTGCCGCGCCCATAAAGTTTAACAGCGTCGCGGAATCTCGACGCTGAAGCTATATATCTGTAATGACCGCGAAGAATCTTAATGCTCCTGATTCATAAGCTCGTCGACGAACGCTCGAAGCTCGAGTGAAAACTACACCCGCTCGACTGGATTCCGGCTATTGACCAAATGATCTGCGAATCGTGAGAGGAATCGCGGGTTTGTGACATAAATATACCAACAACGCGTATCGCGCGCGTTTCGAGATAATAATTTATGATATAATTAATCGGTATATATTATGTTAATCTCATTAATAGCTATTTCCAATCCAATTTGACGAACATCCACAAAATACCGACGCAATTACGAGCTGCGATACGTATAAAATCTGTTTTCACGTAAAATTGCGACGTTCGTGCCGCGGTCGTGTAGCTTTTGATAAGCTAAAAAAATTACGTTAATTAAAACGCGTCGGACCGATTTCTTCGGCGAAACGTCGAAATACGATTTCGGCGCGGGTAGCCCGCGGTTGACGCGATAAATCGAATCCATTGTTTCCCGCCTGGCAACCGACTCGGAGAACAATGGTCGCGTCACATCATTCGGGCAATAAAATCTCATCAAATCACGTCCCCTCGCCACCGTGTAAGCCTCCATTCGCTCTCTTTCCTCGCTCGCTCACACGCGTTCGGCTCAATCTACGAAAGCTTATATAAATGTAATGAGACCGTGACCGGGGATGCCTCATCAATCACACCCCCTACGGCCCCCCCCTCCCCACCCCCTTCCTGTCCTGTCCCATTCCATCGTCGGCGTCGCTCTTCCCTACGGTCGTCTTCCGCGCCGCACATACGTCTACGTGCTACATAGACACCCTCGAACACCGCACCGGCCCGTCCGCGGTAATCCCGTGACTTAACATCGGGCTCCGGGCTCTCCGGGTAACCGCGATTTGTTCCATTGCGCTCAGAAGTTGCGCGCCACACCGCGCCGTTAGTTCCTCGGTCAAGAGAGTCTTACAGCCGAGAGTCTTACCGGAGCCCGGCTCTTGAGTAAGGCCTATTTAAGCGGAATAGTTTTCAAACGATATCCTATCGGACCGGAGCATTCGTTTTACGTACGTTAGCACCGATTTATAGCGCTATTTATAAATATGTCTACACATTAAATTTATTAATTATTAGTTAAATTAAATCGAAGCTTGAAATTGTTGTTTGTTGATCAGACTAATTTAAAATATCTAATGTTCGTTTTTCGACTAATATATATTACAAGTTTTGCGAAATATAATAAATACAACGAGTATATACGAAAAACTTTATAAATATACGAAATATAAATATAATACATTTATATTTCGTATATTTGTAAAGTTCTAAAATCAATTAATTTCTAAATCACTATTTCTTACTTCTTTTTGTAAAATATTTTTTAGCAAATTGATCAGTATAGTTTTAGAATAGATTACTTTTATGTACATATTTTTGAACGAAAATTAAAACAGAAATCAATAGTCAGAGTTAAAAGCAATTATTGCATTCACAAAATTTATTATGCGTAAATCTGTATTGACAAGTTTTATCGATGACTGGTTACATTCAAGTATAAATTATAATAAGAGCCCCGATGCTCTTTCACTCCATATTGGCGTGTTATAAAATGTAAGAAATTTTAAAGTACCATCGCGACATGTAAACACCAAAAATATAAATCTCTCGAACGTAGCGTGTAATTTCTTTACGTTTTTGTGCGTCCAGATTAACGATCTCGTTCATTCCGTGCGAAACGTTCGCGTGAATTCGTGCGAGTTCGCGTCCTTTGCAAGATGAAGGAAGAAGGAGAGAGAAACCGAAGGACGAGCTAAAGGAGGAGGTTGTGGGAGGCGGTAGAAGGGAGAGAAACCTGACATTCGTAGGGTGGAGATGGTGATGGTGGTCGCGCCGGAGGGGAAACTCGTGGGGGAGTCTGAGAGAAGGTTAGTCGTGGGTGTAGAGAGACAGGGAGAGACAGAGAGAGAGTGAAAGAGAGAGTGAGCGAGAGAGAGAGAGAGAGAGAGAGAGAGACGCATGGACGAGGAAACGGAGGTGGAGGTGGAGGAGGATAATATTGATCCCCTCGTAGCCCCGCCCCTCCTCGCCCAGCCGACGCCATCATTATATTATCCACCATCCCTCCGACTCCGTTTCCCGACGTATCGCACACCTACGACCTCTCGAAACTCGCGAAACTATCCTGCCCGTGCACGCGCGCGTTGTCTTGCGCTTCCTCGAGAGGGACTTTTCCCGAAAAAAAGGGAAAAGCCATGGAGGCTACCCTTACGTTTCACCGTCGCGTTCCTCGGCCGACCCTCTCTCTTCCTTAACCTTCCTCCGCCACCCCCTACTGTTTCGCTTCTGCGTCTTCTCACGTCGGAGAAACAGGGACGGAGGATAAACTCGAGGAGGAGCGTTGCCGTGGCCACGGAAGATTCGTGGCAGATTTCCCGAAAATCTTGCGAGGACCAACGCGCGCGTGCGGAAGCGCCACTTCATTAAAAATAAATTCCGTGAAGGAGCCGACGGATATCCGAGGGCTTCGCAAGGATTTCACGCCGCAGACTCGCTTCCTCATTCCCTCTCGCTCTATCTCTCTACGTCTCGTTCGTTGTTCCTTTCGTCTATCCATAATTCGACGCGTCTTTCTCGTTTGTCTCGTTGAACGTTATCTCGATGTTCCCCATTTCTCTCTTCCACTTTCATTGTACTGTGAATTAATTTTAACTCGCGTGTTTTATCTCTTTCTTCTTTCTTGTTCAGCAGTATGTTTTTTTCATCGCAAGAATTTTCGACTTTTCACATTATTTGTCTTGTAAATAATAATTTGACGTTTTTACCTCATAAATAATGATCTTTAAACATTACATAAAAAACTTTAATAATTGTACGAAATGTACAAAATAAATTGTATACATATGCTAAAATATTCAGCTAAAAATATGCATTGAGAAATTAAGAATTAATAAATCTCTTGACAGTGGCACACGCTTAATATTTAATAGAAGTATATATCATAAAATTTTTAATACATTGATACGTCAATTTCGAAAGTCATTATTTCTTTACTTTTTGTTTTCCAAAATTTAATATCGCGTACATCATACATTATATCGCATATGTATGTCTCTTACGTCATCGACATTATCGAATATTCATTATTAACATTACTCGCATTATCGTCACTATTCAAACAGCCTTTATTCCATCATTATCGTGATTGTCATCGTGCTGCCGTCATGTTACAAAAATCATGACTGTCGTTACGAAAAGGGACGGGCAATTACTGCGGTGAACAAACAGGTGCGACGACGTCGGGTGGTTACGCGCCGAAAACACACGACGGCGGCGGCGCGACACCACTTCGTTAAAAGTAAATTCCGTGAAGTATACCGCCGGATATCCGGGGGCTTCGCGGGGATTTGACGGTGGCGCGAAGGTGGAAACCTT